TTTGGTATAGGAGGATGAAGAAGATACAGACTTGGACGAGGAATAGGAACAACCGGAAAACAACATTAACGAGGTGACTTTGTTTACCGAGTATTTTCATGATCGAGAGTTTCAAATATTTCTGTATTGTAAACTTTGACTTAGGAGGAGGAATATGGCGACACCGAGGCTAGTGATGAATCGGGAGTCGGATAATGAGGAAGAGGACAACACCAATAGTGAGGGTAAATAGTATTTAACGAATATGTAATAATGCAATCGAATATTAAATTATGTTTAACGAATATTTAATTGTGTTTACCATTCTCGTTGATCAAAATAATATGCCAACTTGCTTAAATGGTTTTATGGCATATTTTATAGGCTGAAGGTGATGGTGACGAACCAAGCTTGATATTTTACCCGAATGATGAAGAGCAAGACAACTCTAGCGAGGATAATTGTTTTTACCAAGAATTTAGTTACGTAGTCAATTATCGTGACTTCGTATTCACGTTGAAAATATTTTATTCTAAACTCTGATATAGGACGATGAATCAATCTCCGATAGTGATGATGATGAGGAAAAAGAGAAAAACAATACTGGCGATTTAACGAGTATTTAAATATGCAAGATTATGGAGAGTTTTGTATTCGTGTTAACAATATTTCGTTGTAAACTTTGATACAGGAGTATGAACCAAACTCGGAAATCGATGAGGAGGAGGAACAAGAGGAATACGATGCTACAGATGTGAGTTATGTTTACGAAGTGTTTAAATAATATGCAATCGATTATGGAGATTTATGGAGATTTTTGTATTCGTGTTGACAATGTTTTATCGTGAACTTTGATATAGGGGCATGACTCGACCTCGGAGTTTGATGAGGTAGAGGAAAAAGAGGAAATCGATACTAGCGAGGTGAGTTATGTTTACCGATTATTTAATTATTGTAGACGATTATGGAGAATTTTGTATTCCCGTTGACAATAAACTTTGGTATAGGAGGATGAAGAAGATACAGAGTTGGACGAGGAATAGGAACAACCGGAAAACAACATTAACGAGGTGAGTTTGTTTACCGAGTATTTTAATTATCGAGAGTTTAAAATATTTCTTTTTTGTAAACTTTGACTTATGAGGAGGAATATGGCGACACCGAGGCTAGTGATGAATCGGGAGTCGGATAATGAGGAAGAGGACAACACCAATAGTGAGGGTAAATAGTATTTAACGAATATTTAATAATGCAATCGAATATTAAATTATGTTTAACGAATATTTAATTGTGTTTACCATTCTCGTTGATCAAAATAATATGCCAACTTGCTTAAATGGTTTTATGGC